TATGCTCACAAGTTCTAAAATGGATATGGAGGAAGGGAGCATCAACTTGAAAGTAATCCTTGCATCTTGTTGCTTCACAAGTGAGTAATCATCAGCACTGATGACCCATGTATAGGGACTTCATTGATGACCATAGACAGCCATACTAATGAAAACTTCATGATACTGAAAAAATTACATCTCTGGATTTAGACAGTACTTCCATATGTAAACCTACAGAGTCTGTGATCAATGTCTCACCATTGATTCTGCTTGAAACCTGATGCTAGGGAAAAGGGCAGGAAACACAGAATATAATATGGAAACAATGCACTCACGGGATAAGCCAATTGAGTGACAGTTTCCCGTTGCTGCTCAAACTTCTCCCATGCCTCCTTCTCTTTGTCCCTCTCATTTTCCCCAAAGAACCATCCTGGATCTTCAGCTTCCTGAGAATCTTCAACAGTGCTTGACATCATGGTTCGAAACAATTCGTCATCCTTTTCTGTGATCCTCTCATCCTGATCAGGCGTGCTTCCCGGTGAATCCCATTTTGAATGCCTTATACAAGCTGGAGACCTTTCTTCGCTGAGCTTGATGGTGGAACTATCAATGCCCACCAGCTTGGCCACCGTTTCCTTCAAAGCCTCCAAGTCCAAGCCTTCACTGATACCTTTGAAACTGTGAGTCATGGTCATGCTACTAGTTGTTTTTGACATGATCCCCATGCTTTGAAGTGTTTGCAAAAGAGGATTTTCTGCTGAAGGGCTCATTTGGATTGTTCTCAGGTACTCTGGATTACTTTTACAAGATTTTTTATGCCAGTCTCTGGCAATTGCATCACGAAACCACTGATCACAGAACCAGCATCGAATTTCAGATTCTGAAGCATCATCATCCCAGCTTGGAGGCTCAGGGGGCATTTCCAGCCCAGGGAAGGGTACGACACCTCCGGGACCCGACACTAAAACACTTACTCCGTGAGGTCGTATCAGAAGTATGGGAAGTTCCATAGGGGAAAAGTACCCGGTTTTACGTATCCGGTAGAAGTCGGAAGTAACACTTTTGCTCATGTCACCCCTGGCCTGCAACTGCATGGCTGCTAGAACCTGAAACATTTCTTAATCATTTACAAACTCACTGCTACTTCTGATAAATTCATTTCTAGAATTGCACTCCTTTGAAATATGCCATAGTTGCCAAACAATGCCAAATATACTAATATGAAAGGCTTTTCATTCAAAGGAGTCAATTTTACTTTGATGTGAAAATAGGTTGATATGTAGCTGCAAAACAAAGCACCATGAAAACTTCATATGTGATGCTTGGGTAATTTCACCATGAGGAATGTCATTGACACCTGTTATCAAAACATCACTCCTCCATAGCATGGGAGAGATGTCTAGGTTACAAGGTGTCACTATTACACAGGGTGGGCCAAAAGTAAGGTTACACTGAACAACAACTTACAATAATAAAAAAATAATTTATGTAGGCTTACATGTGGAACATGATGGTAACGTATTTGAAAATTTACTCTGAACTTTATTTCATAAATTGTTGTTTCAATATATATTGTTATTGTTGTTTTATCATGGAACTCTGAGTGTAACCTTTCTTTTGACCCACACTTTATATATCCATTATGGCCTAAAAGGTCAGAATGAATTTGAAAAATTAGATGTCATTAAGGCCGAACTTCAAGAAATTCAGCATAGAGTCCAAGAATTAGCCTCTATGTGGTCATTTGTCTGAACCACAAAATCAACTCCAAAGAGCTAATTGGCTTGCAAGAAATCACCTTAGAATATGATGAAGTGACTTGGAGAATGAAGGGGATATATTTATTCATAGTTAAGGTTTCCATTATCCAGCCACAAAGGACAATCACAGACAAAGAGATGAACACCTTGGCTTGCAAGAAATCACCTTAGAATATGATGAAGTGACTTGGAGAATGAAGGGGATATATTTATTCATAGTTAAGGTTTCCATTATCCAGCCACAAAGGACAATCACAGACAAAGAGATGAACACCAATGACACCTCACATCAAATATATATAAGATGGATGGGAGTGGCTCATCTGGCTTCTTAAAGAGAGCTGCAACATTAAATAGCATGTTAACCTTGCTGGCACAAAAGTAAGCTGAGTAGTACCTTTCATCTGCAAACAGCAAAGTTCACAATCTGAGATGAAAATATAGTACCAATTTATATTTTTGCAATTTGTTGTTTTGACCCTAAAGAGAATCATCAGAAAGATTCACAGCAAGAAATATTTTCATTATAAGATGACAAGACATTTCAAAATATTTATTTTTGTAACAAAATGAACATATTCCAAACCTTATCAAGGATTTGGAATTTTAGCATGGATTATCATCAAAAGCCATGCATGTCAGGAAGCATGGCTTCTTAAGAGTCTTGAACAGAGGACAGCAAAGAGCCACATCCAGTAATACTGGCAGAAAATGTAAAATTTCAAGGGTGAGATGAAATGCACGCTTCAGCACTGGTAAAGCAAGCGGCAAAAACGATATCATAGATATCCAAATGAACCAGATCACTGAAGAGCCACATCCAGTAATACTGGCAGAAAATGTAAAATTTCAAGGGTGAGATGAAATGCACGCTTCAGCACTGGTAAAGCAAGCGGCAAAAACGATATCATAGATATCCAAATGAACCAGATCACTTCCAGAGCAAATGATAGAACTCTCAATGTGGCTGCATGGGTCCAATGAATTTTCCTAACATCAGTTGTTCCATCACAGCATCAGGAAAACCAACCTCTCCAATAAAAACCACAGCCAATGGGAATGTTGAATAGGAAGAGTCCTAAATGGCCCTGCATTTAAAAATACGTGCAGCATTGGTTGGTCTTTCGAGCTGTCTTAAAAAACATCTTGCTCTGCACAGACAGGCCCTCAGACCTGGCAACCAGATCATCTAGCTTCTCCCCACGCTGCAGTACTGCCTCTAGAGTATTGTGCAGAATAATCTTGGTTTCATCCAGTTCTGACTGGATCTTGGACATGGCATCTGCCTCCTTTGGGTTCTGGTATCGTGCCAGAGTCACCTCCAGGCCAGGGAAATTCACCGTGGTCGGATCCCCCGTCGGCCACATAGACGGATTCACCTGGGTTGCAAAGTCATCTAACACCTTCATGATGAGGGTGTGTGCCACTCGTTGTGGGTATTCATCATCTGATATGACCACTCCAGCCAGACGGTCACCACGCACATAAGCATGACACACGTGCCCGCCCTGCTCCTTCACTGAAGTACGAGTAGCCACCTCAGTCCTCTCGACTATTGTCTTTCCAGTGAATGCCATGAACTCTTGAACACTACTCCGCTGAAAGAAGCCAAACGACTGGAGGTCATATGCTGCCCGTAACAGCTTGGTCTTCTTGTCAGGGCCATCAGGGAGCTTGTAGAGTANCATGACACACGTGCCCGCCCTGCTCCTTCACTGAAGTACGAGTAGCCACCTCAGTCCTCTCGACTATTGTCTTTCCAGTGAATGCCATGAACTCTTGAACACTACTCCGCTGAAAGAAGCCAAACGACTGGAGGTCATATGCTGCCCGTAACAGCTTGGTCTTCTTGTCAGGGCCATCAGGGAGCTTGTAGAGTACTGCTATCATGTACAACTTCATTTTGCGTCACTTGACACAGCTGCTAACCTCAACAAACACTTCTGATTCACTACTGGTGAATATTTATTAGTGATTCTCATTCCACGACACCTATTACACAAGAAACCAAACTTGTGAACTAAGTCACTCTAAAGGTAAGAACAAACTAAGACACCCCATATTCTCAACATAAATTGAATCAAAACTTCTTTGATGCACTGAAAAGTACTGAATACAGGTACATGAAAGAGCAGTATACTATGTAGCTTCAAATATACTGGTATGACAAGCTCTGAGAGTGCTCATGCAACACTCAAGCAGCATAGCTGCTCTTGGATCAGAACAGAAGGGATCTCAAACCTCCAGGTAAGCACCAGAGGAAAGCATGCCAGAAGTTTTCCATCATCAAACCAATGTGATAGGGACACGTTTTCATGCTCCAGCTTATTTTAGTTTCTCCCCATTTGTACCTCAGAGTGAAAGCTTGCACATCTTAATTCTGGAGGAAAGTTGAATGGCCTTTGCTCAATGCAGTACATTTTGCATGCTTTTAGACTGCTAGCATGAATTGCCAGAAAGAAGAAATGATTGCAGTTACTTGGAACATTCAGGATCAGATTACTTTGCATATAACCTGAATTCTTCCATGTAGCAAAAGGCAGTTTCCATGAGTTCCAATGCTCATGGTTCACATTAAAACAATACCTAATTTCCAAGGCAAACAACATTAAAAGCCAGGGCCTTTCAATGATTGAACTATATAAATAGGATTTCCAAGAATACCTGTCACATTTAGAAGTTGTATACTATGATGTTCAAAACATTTTCAACAAGATGCCCTAATTTCACAATAATTGTCTGATAAGAAAAAAAGAAACAAGGGATAGGAAAATGCAAGGCACCCAATGGAACTGATGTTTCCTTCATAATATATAGGCTCTTATATAGAACAAGGCAGCAAAACATTTTCATCATGAACCTTCATTCCCTACTGCTGCCAAGTGGTAGCCAGATTTATAGTGCAAATGACTTCCATGTCAATAAGCACAACAGGGTGCAACTTAACTGGCATGCATAGTTAATTTACATATTTATAGATACCTTGACTGTGTCCATTAAACTTCCTTTCCGTGCATCAGATATCATTGACCAGTGAACAATAGTAAGTTTCTTGGTGTCAGGGAGACATGATGCAATTACAATGGGGTTATGTTTTGATGTGATCCCATGAACACATGAGGTGATTTGAAAGGGAGGCATGGTCAGGGATGACATCTTTTACATGCCCAAAGGCATCAACACTTCCAAGAATTTCCCTGGGCAGGAATTTCTAAATGCTGCTTTGAATTCCAGCATGGCAAAATAAGCTGAAGTGAGTTGAGCAGGTAATGAAAGACAATATTGTCCTATAAAAGTAGCAACAAGTCTTCTTTGCTAAGCATACAATGAATCAAGTGGCCAATCTCTCATGCTGGCAGCCTATTGAAAGTTTTAAGTCTCTCTGTCCTGCTGAAATTATTCATGAACTTGAATCAAACATTCAATTCTTGAACATGATTGGTAAACCTCTGGATTTCAATTTACCTCACAACTAGTTTATCTAGGATAAGTACATTAAAACTTCATGAATATGAACTGAATAGGATTCACATCTAATTCACTAAAAGCAAAACACCCAGTGTATTCCAATACTCCTAAAGGAAATCAAATTTAACAACCAAATAAATCAAAGCAGCAGTAACAAAAGTACAAAAACTGTCAAGCAACTACCAAACAATGAACAGTATGGCCAGACTATACGACATCAGAATGCTTTGTACCAGTAATTGGCAAATTCACTCAAATTTGTACTTTAATGGTACCAAAATGGAAAGGTGAAAATATTCAGCCACCATTATTTATGGTGGGAAGAGGTAAATCCAACTCAACCATAGGGAGTAGGGGGGTGCCAGATGCAAGCAGCTGTGTGGGGCAACGGTGCTTGGCAAAGTAACTTCGACGTGCATAGCCTCGCCCACACTGGTCGCAACGGAACTCCTTGATGCCCAGGTGCAGCTTCAGATGCTGCATGAGATGTGACTTCTGGAGGAACTGCTTCCCACAAACATCACAGTGGTAAGGTCGCACCACCTCTACACTGGGGCAGGAATGAGAAGACAGGGACTTGCGGGACAGCATCTCCTTCCCGCACTTGTCACACGTGTGTCTCTCCCCAAAGTGATACACCTTCACATGGTCTATGGCATCCGACTTACGTCTGAAGGACGAGTGACACATCTGACACAAGTGTCTCGTCTCAACTGGAGACACTGGATCAACGATATCAACTGCCAATACGTGTTTCTCAGCTTCCTGGTGAACTGCACTACGTTTTTTCTTAGTTCTGTTGTCAAGGGCACTGAGAAAGCCTGCATCCACTAGCGATGGATGCCGCCTGCGAATGTGCTGTTTCAGGTTGGAATTAGTAGTGAAGTTCTGCCTACATGCAGGACACTTGAAAGGCTGCATGCCTTCATGCACAATGCGAATGTGCTGCTGCAGATGAAACTTTTGGGAGAAGGTCTTTGGACAGTGAGTGCATGGAAAGCGTCGTGGTCCCTGAGCACCAAAAACACCGTTACACGTTGGGTATGCTCCTTTTGCTGCATCTTCAGCTGGGCAAGGATCAGGTAACATGTCTAGCTGGAAGGGGATACAAGAAAGGACAGATTTCCACATCAGCATTGTAAGCTTTCAGAATCAACATCACATTGAAATAATGAAATATTTGGGTAATATCCAATGGAGAATATTCTAGTGCAACACATGCAATCTCAAAATTGAAGTCAAAATAAGCAATGCCAAAAAAACCTGGTTCAAATAAGGTTATAAACTAAGAAAATACGTAAGCTAAGTTTATGGTGAATGAAAATGTGAAATATAGCAAAGACTATGACAAGAACACTTCTTGACTTTCCTCTCTTTTAAATGAAAAAAAGGGGCTAATATAAAAACCAATGGGGTGGGCCCTCAAACCCTGGAATAGATGATAAATCCAGTGGTTCGGGAGCCAGTGGAGCGGCAGATCTGTACCTGGGCTGGTACTCTAGTTTTACTCTTCCATCCTGTGTTGCGCGTGAATCGATGATAAATCTTTAAATCTCCGCGCAATGAAGTGTCACTGTACACCTCCAATCATTTAGGTTACATTTTTGCATCCTTCCGGGATGGGTCGGCTAAATGGCAAAGGGCCTCAGTGCGCCTCTTTACTTACGTTTCATTATTTACCTGGGGCCGTATTCACGAAACATTCTTACGAACTTTTTCTTCGTAAGAAGAGAAAAGTTCATAAGTGGTATTCATCAAACATTTTTGCGTAAGATGTTCCCACGATCTTCGTACGCGGTGCGTAGGAATGCTGCTCAATTTTGGTATTCACGAAAGCGCCAAAGTTCGTATCTTTCCTCGTAAGTCTAAGAACGGTCCCGAGGNATCCGACTTACGTCTGAAGGACGAGTGACACATCTGACACAAGTGTCTTGTCTCAACTGGAGACACTGGATCAACGATATCAACTGCCAATACGTGTTTCTCAGCTTCCTGGTGAACTGCACTACGTTTTTTCTTAGTTCTGTTGTCAAGGGCACTGAGAAAGCCTGCATCCACTAGCGATGGATGCCGCCTGCGAATGTGCTGTTTCAGGTTGGAATTAGTAGTGAAGTTCTGCCTACATGCAGGACACTTGAAAGGCTGCATGCCTTCATGCACAATGCGAATGTGCTGCTGCAGATGAAACTTTTGGGAGAAGGTCTTTGGACAGTGAGTGCATGGAAAGCGTCGTGGTCCCTGAGCACCAAAAACACCGTTACACGTTGGGTATGCTCCTTTTGCTGCATCTTCAGCTGGGCAAGGATCAGGTAACATGTCTAGCTGGAAGGGGATACAAGAAAGGACAGATTTCCACATCAGCATTGTAAGCTTTCAGAATCAACATCACATTGAAATAATGAAATATTTGGGTAATATCCAATGGAGAATATTCTAGTGCAACACATGCAATCTCAAAATTGAAGTCAAAATAAGCAATGCCAAAAAAACCTGGTTCAAATAAGGTTATAAACTAAGAAAATACGTAAGCTAAGTTTATGGTGAATGAAAATGTGAAATATAGCAAAGACTATGACAAGAACACTTCTTGACTTTCCTCTCTTTTAAATGAAAAAAAGGGGCTAATATAAAAACCAATGGGGTGGGCCCTCAAACCCTGGAAACCCTATCATCTTGTTCAGAAACAATTGGCTGGCAGAGAAATCCCATTTTGCAGGAAGACAAAGAACCAACAACATCCTCAGGTTTCACTATCACATGCTCATGGATACACACAGCAATTGATTTTCAAAATTCACACTCAAACTAAACACTGAGTCCACCAAAAAAGAGCAAAACTTATGGGTCCATCCATGCCAAGTGGTCTGAAGATTCATAGTGGGAAATTCCTCTAAATTTATCAAAATTACTTTCTTTACTGAAGTTCATCACCTCTTCCCAAAAGATCTGAATAAAGAAATTTATTATCTTTAAAAAATTAAAGAATTACTCACTTTCATTATATATTATTTATATCATTATTCTTATATTTATGGATGCAATCGAACTGCATATCTGGCAAGACTGAATTGGACTACTGGAACAGATAACACCATGGGCTCTCCCATGCATATTCATAATTTCAAATCAGCTCATGTGTAAAGAAATGAAACATTTTAAAATTTGAATGATGCATTTAAAATAGCATTCTTAATATACATGTCTGAAGAGTAAAATTTTGTGTTAAAGTGTTGTGTAGATTGTACCAGTGTTTTATCGGAGTTATAGAAAAAGTCAAAACCCACTGAATGTGCTTAAGGTCCGAAAATACATTAGAATAGAATGAAGAAGGTAGGCCCGTCAATTCGATTAGATTCATCGATTAAAGTATTAACCGCAATTTTTTTAATTAGCTGAAATTAATCAAATTTTAATCAACTTATTTCTGGCATTCTTATGGGTACTATGGGGAAATGCCAGACATTGCAGTCGGTCTGTCACTTTTTTTTTTCCATATGCCAGCAGTAACCATAGCGACCAGAAAACACGACCCAATGCGCAAGCGCAGCTTTCCGCCTGGGCCGGGGTACCCGTTCCTCCAAGAAGGCATCCACTTCCCTTCCAGTCCTAACGGTTGCCGATCCATGGTAGACAATGGAAAAGAGCGGCTGGTCCCGGCCGCGTAGACAGGGTTGCAAGGCGTACCCGTGAAATGCTGTATCTGGCATCCTACACTTCATAAAGGAAGTCCTCGATTTACGTTATTTCGATATAACGTCGCTGACATATTAGGGAACAAATTTCCGTATACGTTGCGTCGTTCCGATATAACGTCGTAAATCGAGGACTTCCTGTGTATTCAATAATACATGGGAAAATGTTTCGATTTACGTCGTGTTTTCCGGGCACGCATCCGCGACTTACTGTACCGTCCTCCCATCTCCACGCGACGCGGACGCGCGGACCATCGAGAGAACATGTCTAGTTGTCCAGGCCTTTACATATAGGACTACGCCGAACCAATGACGGCCATTCTTTACTTCAAGGTTGGATGGTTAGGATGCGGTGATCTACTATTTAGGTCACCAAGCCCTCGGTCACCTCGCCGTCTAGACATGGACCCGACCATGAGATCAAAATGAGAAGGTAGGACACAACGCGCACTTAGCTACTATTTAGAAATTTAGAGGCGCGTTGGAAGTGTCACTGTACACCTCCAATCATTTAGGTTACATTTTTGCATCCTTCCGGGCTGGGTCGGCTAAATGGCAAAGGGCCTCAGTGCGCCTCTTTACTTACGTTTCATTATTTATCTGGGGCCGTATTCACGAAACATTCTTACGAACTTTTTCTTCGTAAGAAGAGAAAAGTTCATAAGTGGTATTCATCAAACCTCTCCTGCCACAAAACTCTTACGAAGTTCATAAGTGATATTCATGAAACATTTTTGCGTAAGATGTTCCCACGATCTTCGTACGCGGTGCGTAGGAATGCTGCTCAATTTTGGTATTCACGAAAGCGCCAAAGTTCGTATCTTTCCTCGTAAGTCTAAGAACGGTCCCGAGGTATCGTAAGTGGCCACAATAATGATGTCGAGGCAATCTGCGGAACTCTCTTCCATTGGGTGTCTCAATTAAGCTAAGGTTCATCCACACTGGGCGTCTAACAGGATATATGCACACAGGATTCGCAAGATTTTGCCTCGGAGGTCATTCACATTCATCCGGTTTCAGAAAAGTAAGACGATAATGCTCCAGCGAAACACTTTCCCCCCTCAATTACTGAAAAATCTTTCGACAGAGATCGGACAGTGGGGAAGATAGTGATCTACCGCCAGTCCTGCTAGTCTCCCATAGAAACTGAACTCCTTTCGCCTTCGCACGTCACTTCAGGTCCATGAATTCCATTTTACTTCTTCAGCAGTTCCCCGTAGAGAGGAGAGACAGCTCACTGCCTCAGACTCTAAATCCTATGCTCGCAATTTAATTTTTCCCATAACGCTTGAGCTGAGTTTCTCTAGCAAGACATTCTTCCTTCGCTCGACTCCTTCAACGAGCACCCCAATTTCCTAACTGGTGAAATTCCACTCTCTCTTCTACTCTCCATGATACGAACGTTGTTACTGTATTCAGAACTTTTCCTTGGGCATTTCTGAAACCTTGAGGTAGTTTTTTATTACGATGAGATTCAGTGGATATCGTCTTTTAGGGTGTTTTTGAAGATTCGACAGGATCTCCAGTCGTGTTAAAGCTTCCTGTGAGAGCAAAAACAACGGCATGGAATGCGCAGAAAGTTTGCAGAAGGCTCCCATGACATGGGGTGGTCACTCAGTATGACGGTCGCACTCTTGGTGCAACGAAAGATGAGTCGCTAACCAAACCATCGAGGGCTCGAGCCAATACTAACCAACCGAGTAACAGTAACGATGCTTCAAAGTACTTATGGTTAGATACGAACTTCGTAAGAATATCGCATTCTTACGAAGTTTTCATGAATACGGCCCCTGGCTAAGTTGAACCTATTTTCCTTCAGATCGGAATGTGTCACACGCAAGTTGAACTAGAGTATGTACGGATAGTAACTGCCATGTTAGCGACTGCATCGCCTTCAGTCACTTCCTACGGCTCGCCTAGGTGCTGGGCATAACACAAGCAGAATCACGCCCAAAACCTAGGACAAGATTCAAGGATCGATGAAAATTCGATTAATCGATTAAATGGCTCACGATTAATCGGTTGAATTTTTTCATCAATCGACAGCCCTACTAAATGGAAAGGTTCTGCTTCATGACAGAAATGTGGTCATTATAATAGCAAGTGACTTCAACATGAGGTTTCATGAAATGCAACTGACATTTTTCTTAGCACCGTTACAACTCTAGCAAAAGAGAACAGGCAAGACTTTGCATTGTTGAATTTTCAGTCCCAGACTAAGACAAATTGTTGCAGCCTCAATATGTTGATTCATCATTTATAATTTAGTTTAACACATTTTCTATATTAAGCATATTACTCCAGATGTCACATCGGAAGCTATGGACAGGCCCTTATACTTCTTCAGCAGCCATCCCCCTCGTGTAAAGTGAAGCATATCTTTAAGTCTTTCCTAAAGAGGCTCATGTCTAATGTACCTGTAGAGTGCTCAAGAATGTCACTTGGTGAGACCTGGCATTAAGGAGAGGATATCCAGAATGCCTTCTCCAACTGCATCAATGAATCCTTCATTCCTGCACAAAAAAATGTCTACCCTTCCTATAAAAAAAAGTCAAGCCTTTCGTCTTTACATTTCATCCTGCTTAGGGATTCCTTTCTATAACTCTCTTAATGAACACCCATTTCAATTGAGACTTCCAGTTGGGATGCCTTAGCTTTCGTCCTTTGTTTCTAAGGAAGAGTTTCTACCTGTTTCACATTTGTTTATGCCTCCTGTCTTCTATCTTTTGTTTACCCCTCTCAATCTTTGGGAGCTTTTCTGTTCTTGTCCTACTTTCCATTATTCTTATAATCATGGAGTTGTGCAGAATTCCACTTGGCACTTCACTCTAGTTATGAATGCTTTAATTTTACGTGCACAATACAAAAGAAATCTCACCCTTTCAGTAGAATGGCTAGAAATGAACTCTCCCGTGGAAGGACACAGGCTAAACGGGGGATCAGGTGGCTCCTCCTCAATGGTGGCAGACGTTCTGGTTTCCGCTTTCCGATTTCCACCTTTATTCAGCTGTCCTGATCAACCATTTCAATTTCATGTAAGTCAACTTGAGGAACTGAAAGCATTTTAAAAAAAGGTGCAACATGTCAACCGTGACACCACCCCACCCCATCTAGAACAGAACCACTGACTGGTTTTTAGCAATTGTGCACACACGTAATCATACTTAATGCATTTTTATTGGTTGCATTTGATCTAAGCTGGCTGGTGTTTTGAATTTGACTCTTGAAGTACAGCACCATCAAAAGGCATAAAACTCAGGACTTACTAATAATGTCATGACTTTCCCAAGATACCAATGAAACTTTCCCAGGAAACTTGTACACATCCTCAAAGCTTTTGGTCCAATTTTGAGCAAACAAGCTATTTCCTCTTCATTTGATCCAATTTTGCACCAATAAATTTGCCCTCTCAACACGAGCAATGAACCCTGGCTATACAACATCTTATTCAAAAAGGCTCATCACTCAAAACATCAGCTAGCATAGATCTCCTGCAACCAAAAACCTAGCAATAAGTTTGATTACATGTATGTGCAATGTCATCCAAAAAACTGCCATGGTTTCCGCTTCAGAGGAGGAGGCAGGTATTTTGTGACGCTCTGCATAGAAAGCATCTAGACTCTTACCTCCATCATCGAGTATGTCAATGCCAAGTTCTCGACCTGCATGTATCAGACCCTCAACATCAGATGGATCCACTTCTACTGATCCACAATAAAGGAAGTGAAGGGCACGAAAAACATTTGCCACTGAGACACTACTCAGCACAATAATGATTGGGCCCTCCTCATCCTGTGGAAGCACTTTCTGGAAAATAGAATGAAAATTATAAATATATATATACACATATAAAATGAAAAGGTACTCTTACAGACTGACTCAACAGTCACTTCAGATTAAACTTCTAGCATGCAATATCATTCAAACTCCAACACCTGGAGGGACAGAGTGCAAACCCCCACATTTTGAGGGAAACAATGTAAAAAGAATACATTTTCCATTGATTTTCCCAAAAGCTGATATAAAAAAACAACAGGCAATAGGAACCTTACTTTGATGCTGAAACAAAGCCAGCTTTTAAACCTGTCAACTAGAATTAGGATATACTAAGTCATTGGTCATACTCTCAGGCAATAGTAAAATAAGCATAGACTGACTAATAGCCTGAATGTCAGCTAGAGCACAACTGACCTTGAAATATGCTGAAAAAGCAGCAAGTATTGGTGCATGAGCCCAAACATTCCCATCCTCACAGGAAAGGAGAACATCACACATCTCTTGAGCCAGCCATAAATCCTGGATGTCCTCAAGGAGGCGATGCTCATGGCTCGTACACACAAGGGACACGGACGCCATTACATCCACCACCAGAGAAAAACCAAATTAGCAATGGACAATGACCCACCAATGCACCTGAAGCAAAGCATGACTGTTGAAGTAAGCAAAAATATTGGAAACCACAGGAACAAGTTTTCCTCTTTTTTTTTTTGCAATCTTCTGAAAAGTTGCTTGAGGTGAGTGGAATCAACACACTCATGCATCTACGTGCAGATGCAAGTTTGCCCTCTGCAGCTACTGGAACCATAACAGACCAAGGCTATATTTTGCAATAGCAAATGCACTTGTTCAAGACCAATACAAGTCAGCAACATAAAATATGCTAGTAAATCCATTAGGAAATGTCCAAATTCAATCAGAAAAAAATCCATAACATGGGTGTTTTTTTAAATCCAATGCTAAAAACTCAGAATGCCATCACAGACCCACTCAAATGAACAAGAACCTCGTTTACCATCAACAAACCTTGGATGACATTAGCGGCAGTGAATATTAGGGTGTTGGTTAGGAAGAGTTTCTATCTTAGCAAGATATCAAGCATAAAAGCTGTTGAGAAAGTTCACATGAAATACATCTTCACATGAAGGAATTAACCTGCCAATGCCTCACACCTACAATATTTACTGTGAAAAAATGTAAAGAACAATGATTGCATGGCTTTCTCCTATTCAGTAGTAGCAGTCAGGAAGCAGTGATATAAGCTAATATCATTCTTTCATTTTAGTGAGAGGGTTTCTGGAAGTCATAAAAGGTTAGAGGTCACCCAGGGAGAAAACAGCCTGAATGATCGAGCACACTGAAAACTTAGCATCAAATTGCACGTGCATAGAGAGAAAGAAAATATCTTTAACCAGATTTCAAGCGATAAACACTTCTGAACATCCCCATATGGTGATATTTGCTTGATCCCCATGACAAAACTCAGATCAGACACAACACAAGAGACTCAAACACAAGCCAAGGCAATCAGGTCAGTCATAAAGAATCAGGTACACAAAAGAAAAGACATGTCACATTTCACCTAAAAGCAGCATAAATCAAGCCTATGCAGTCATCTGGCTAAATCACAGGCAGTTTCATCTACACAGCTGTGGTATCACAGTCAGAGCACCTGGAAAAAGATCAACATGTGAAACCACTGTGGAAACCTTCGGCAGGGTGGCCCTGCAAGTCAATCAATAAGCTTGTACCAAAAGCTGACTGTAAACTAATGGGATATCATATTTTGGGCAACTTAGGAGCTGTTATCAGAGGATTGCCCTTTTCAAGGACTTTCCTCCCCTCAGACTTGTAGTCAAATGAACATCCATGAGCCTCAGCATAGCGATGAATGGCGCAGAATGACTTTCCACAATGGCAACTGAAAATGGTTGTAAGGGTAAGCTTCTTTCGACACCGAGTGCACCTGGGCCGATCAGATGTCCTCCGTTGCAGGGGCACCAGGGGTGGTAATGGACTGAAGCGATTCAGCTGAACCCCCTGACTTGCATGCAGGCGATGCTGGCAATGCCCACTGTCATCTAATGTGAGTCCCTGCATTTCCTCAAGTAGAGATCGTTCGTTTTTCTTTTCGGTCTCTGGAGGTTTCAAGGAAGCAGCTTTTTTCTGTGCAGTATGCACACGGGACATCTTTGCAGACAGGTATCGATGTCGGTTAAGGATGTCCAGGACTTCTCGGCCCTCATGATCATTGAGGACATTAAAGGACAAGCCTCTGATCTCGCTCACAGTACTGAGCGTTGGGCTGGTCAATTCATGGCGTAGAGTCTCATTCAACTCGAACGTACTCTTTTCTGTTGTCTTGGGACGTTGATGTGGAACTTCAACAGACTTCTGCTGTTCCTGATGAGGATGCTGCTGATGATGACGATGACGGTGATGGCGGTGATGGTGACGGTGATGATGATCACGATGACTTTTAGGGTCATTTCTTGGCAACTCAAGAGTCAGGTCAATGGTTGCATTTGAGGCAGCAAGACTATTTCTTCCACTGGCACTGAAGGAGAAGGACAGTCGAGATGGACTACAAGGCTCATGCTGCTGACTTCGCTTGAGGTCTGACCTCGATGCCGTTATGGGAGGTAGCTTGATATCAGGTTTTGTCTCATTGGGTGCATGTGAAATAAACTTTGAAGGGTCAATAAGCTCTTCTGATGGAACGCCTGCTCTTCTTCGGCGTTCCTGAAATCCATAATTCAAAGATAATGTTAGTGGGGATGTCACAGCAACTGTACAAAAGGAAAAGGTAATTTAGGACTAGCCTTTTTCTTCCTCCTCAAATCCAACTTAAGTTGCTCCATCTTGCTCTGGGTAATTCGATTTTCCATTGAGCGCTGCCGATTTTCTTCTTCATCTTCCCAAAACAGGTTCCTATATGAAGAAATGTTAGTACATCATTGACAGCAATCTTTCATCAAGTTGGGAACCTAGAAAAGTGTCATGTGAACACACCTGATGGCATGGCCATTCCAAGACTGTGACAGAGGTGAGAAGTGGCCATCAGTGGTTTCAATCACACGGTACAAGTTCACCTGATCTCCATCACGATACATGAGGAGAGTCACTGGCTCTCCTGAAGGAAGGTGTTCCCAGATTTCCTCCCTATCGCAGAAAAATGTCATATATTCCTTGAAATGTATACACACCTGACTAGGTCTCAAGATTGAAGCAAATCATATGAGAAAGCAAGCCCATAAAGAAAAAAATTAATGTTTAATTTGAAATCTAAATCCATGGGAACATGGTCTTAGCATGAGCACCTGAAAACAATTTTCTGGACTTACATTTCTCAAAAATGAGGTAACAAAGGATTAATTTAATAGGTTTACTGGTACTGACTTTACTGGCCAAGAGATGCCATGCTAAGAAGTTGACTGGACATGAAGATATTCAACCAGTCAGAAAATAAGGCAAAGAACACAGTTGGAAAAAGTTTCAGAGCCCCCTGATATTGGCAGCTTGAGGTACCTAGACTTCCACTTTCCACAGACTGTCCAACCAGGACAGTAGCTAGATAATTCCCCACCTGACAAGGTTTAAACAGAATTGCAGTCAAAGGGAAAATTCTTCTTTTAAATGCAGATCAGGAAAATAAATGACACTACAGAAGTTTAAATTAATCCTATTTGCCATACTACACGCATTTGGAAAAAGGGTCATTTACCAAATTAGGCATGGGAATCTGCTCCCCTTCAATTTCATGCATAACTTGACTTGGGGACTTACTGATTGGCTTCCATGAATTCCTTGACATCCAACAAAGTGGAGTCTGAGGAGCTGACACGACGCATGTTGATAGGTCCTCCCCTCATGGATATAACAAGGCGTAACGTGGCCCCATCATACAGCAAACTGTCACCCAACTGTGCTTCATTGTCCAACTCATTTCCTTGAAATACCAAGTGCTGATGGATGATTGGAACCCCTGCAAGAGAAATCCAACATCAGATGAGTGAAGAAGCAACTCAGCTCTAAGTGTTGAAGCAAGAATATACATTGTGCCTTATATCCTGATCCAGGGTTATTTTCATTCCTCATCCTCATAATCATTAATCATGTATTAGTAACGACCTTGTTTACTATTTTAATATTGAAACATCAATGATTCAGGTCCATGCACCAATGCTTTCATACCTATCAACTTGACAGCTCTAATTTGAACTAGTGTTACTCCAAATGCATGGCTACCCCCTGGATCCACAATTCAAAGGAAGACATACCCAAATAAGCAACCAAGTATAGATGACCGTGAAATTCAAGTTATTGTACTTCATATCCTATTCTGTAGGCCAAAGGAATTTAAGAGCATACTTCCATCAAAATGCTAAAAATGACAATTTAGTTCCGAAATTTTACTTTTACCACATGCTATGGACCCTAATAAGGAAAAAAAAAAAACAACTTCCACTTTCCAGGAATGCAACCATTATTCACCAATCCTTTATAAAATTTCTTTAGATATAAAATGTCATACATGACGTTTATGAAATCTTACTAGCTAAAAAGCATGGCACCCCATTTACAAATCCTGCTTTACAACATTTTACCAATGCTTACATTAAAGAGTCAAAAGATAAAACAATGCAAAAACTTGCTCACCTTCATACTTCTGTATTCGTGCCTTAAGGGAAATAACAGTCTCTAAGCGAGAGACCTGAAGATGATATTTTGTCCCAGTGAGAGTTTCAATGAAGATTTGAATGCCCTCATCCTCCTCATTCCCTTCCTCATCCATGATGAGCAAATTTAGAAAGAGTAGGCTCAAGCTAGGTTTTCCTAGGCCCAGGCCCAGGCCTAGGTCCTACTCAACCTAACTTGGGCCAACCAAAACGTATCCCTGCAAGAAGGATGATTTGTCACTAACAAAGAGCTTGCTTCACACATCCACAATATATGACACAAAGTACCTAGGGTAGTGCCTAAAGACTAGCTAGTTAAGCTGCATTGCCTGCTGAGAATATTGATACAAGATGAAGAAATAAAAGTTTTATAGTTCTCCAGCAGACAGGAATTGGAAAACAGAATCTAAGTAATTATGCTCCACAAGGTGTAGCTAAGATAAAGACAATGACATCCAACTAATAAATCTCTCCTCCTATTTGAACTACTTTTACAAAACATTCAACATGCAGAGAAGAATGTTTCCAACATAACTTTAAAAATTTACTTACAAAGACATTGCTCTATGACAAGGCTGTGTGCAACGATTAAAAAGGTGGATGATGAAAAACGGAGGAAGAACATACCCTAGCAGTTGAGCAGAGGATATCCTAAAATGCTCATTCAACTTTTGCAGTGAACTTTATTACATAAGCCATTGTGTTACAACGGATATTTTGGCCCTGCCCCAGTTAGACAAAAATCCACAGGTTAATATTATTGGCCACAAAATTCTCTCACAGCTAATTCCTTACAGGGCTGACAGAGCAGTCTTAGATGTATTTTGTAATATCCTAATTTTACAACCAAAACAAGCATGGACTTTTCACACATCCCTCACCGGAAAGCATGGCACTAAGAAGGTTAAAGTGGATTATTACAGTGCAGAATATGTAGGAAGGAAGGCAGTAGTTGCTGCCAGCACAACATAGAAACCTGCAGTTACCTTGTAAGCCTTAGCTATGCTCACTATAACAAATAACCCGTCTTTTTTAACATGAAGAGCAACGTTAGCATTTCCCATTATCAATTACTTGCAGCATGAAATTCAGGATACTTTCTTTACTCAAGGAAAAAACTCCAGTATAGGGTTGTCATCCATCCATAATTAGTATGATATTCATGATTAGCATTACAATACATATTTCAGACACAAGTACATAATGCCATATGGTCTCAAAATAGACAATGTTTTGTCCACGTTTTAAATTTGCTGATATTTCATGAATTAGTAAAGCTTAAAAGCAGCTAAAACTGCTACTTTCCAGTAGTCTAAAGTAGCAGGCTACACTCATATTTATGATTAGTGCCTTGGCTTTAGGTGACTATGTGTACTTGCAGCTATGCTGCAAATACCATATGTACTACAAATACCACAGCCAAAAGTATACTTTGAATATTTGCCTAACGTCGCCAACATGGTAGTCGCCACTATATTGCTAGTTCAATAATTTTTTCCATACTATGGCAATGGAACTTTATTCCAATCACAGAGTAAAACACTTTGGTTTTACATGTGACAACATGAATCGGCCGTCATTCCGCATGCATGCACATGGACAGAGCGGCCACTTTTTCCCGTACGTCCACAGATAGCGACTTCCAAACGGGGATCCTTCATATTCGCCATTCATGTTGCTTCCTTATGCAGGTCTTATTGCCTCACGTTGGCTGAGTGCAAGGCATTTTGATTCGAACCTCATTCCAATTAGCCTAGGGAGTGAACACAATGAGGTGGGATGGTTCCACTTTCAGAACAGTAATAACACTAGTGTCACAGTACATTATGAGTTTGGCAGCCTCTAAGCCACAAGGGGAGGTCAACAAAGAGTCATGAAGTGTCGATGGCGACTTTGGGATACATGGCGACTACCATGTAGTTGTTAGATGTCTGTATTCCATTTAATTCTAAAGTGGCAACCCTGTTCCAGTGACTTTTTGAAGAGTTAAAACATGATTAAGTTACTCTATGGTCAATTACCACATGAGATGGTCTCCATTCACCAAGATATGGCAAAATGTATTGAATTTTTTTCAAATTCATTATCATCAGCAGATATTCAAAAGCATGCAAATCAGATGAAGCAGTAAAAGATATTGGGATAAAGGATAACCATATTTCACATTAGTGAACCTGACAACTTAACCTCACTTTTATGCAACATGCATTAGCATAAGGGACTTGGGAAATGATGAATAAATTAAAGTTAAACTATCTTTCTTAACTTAATCCCATTTAGTTCAGTTTCCTCTCATGCTTCCATATGCTACAAAATATCTTATTACTACACTAAATAAATAACATGACCTAGATCCCATTCCCTTTTGCAGGCCAAGACAAAAAATATTTAGGCCTACAGTTAACAGCAACGAATGCAGAGTGGATTTTTGAGGTTATTTTAGGCAGAACTTTGGGACTTAGAAAACACACTTAATTTCAGTAGAGCCGGCGATGGAACACAAAAAAGGAACCAGTGATAGTCTTTGCAAGTAATTGAACCGAAGGGAAATGTAACGTAGCCACTCCGTATGAATATGCCCACGATAAGCTCTATCTAACTTGGCCCATATAGATCAAGAGCGCCAAAGATACGACAGGCGCCGTAACCACATTAATTCAAACCAAATGCTCTAAACTAGACACCTAAAGTTAGATACACAAGAACTGCGTAAATGCGAGCGCACTGTGATGTCAGGGTTATTCCTGACTCATTTCCCTACTTCAGGCCTAGACGATGGATGGCTGTGTGGGCTTCGCCCGTGTGAGACTCATCATCACGAGTAAAGCCAGCCACTATGTCTGCCGCCATTCATCTGCGTCAACTCCATGGGCATCTTCGACTTTATCATACCTCATCATATGTAGACTCTGAATTAATTGCCTCAAATATGTTTTCCGAGTTTATTAAGCTCCCTTGCACTTCATTTTCACCTCCTATCCGACTTTTTGGTCAGTTTTGTTTGAAATAAGAATAAACCTACATGAGCTGCTCCTTTATTAACTCAAGCACTATTGCACTTCACTCGTTCAGGCATATGCGTCATTCACTGTGTTTACTCTAGTTGAGCGCTGTGTCCTTCGCCATCGGTGTCAGCTGGTTTCACGAGGTCGCCTTCTCCAAGCGCTTAATCGCCACTGCGATCTTGGCGTGTTGACGGGTTGGTAGAACATTCTAGGTTGGGTGTGATACAGGCCGTAACTGAATATCGGTACCCTATCAGATATTACAAAGCATGTTCACTTTTCATCTTCAGCTTCTGCACGCACCAAAGGAAAATAGATACTTTTATTCATCTTCTCCCTACGTCTCAAACTCCTTCCCCAATATTGGGGGTAGGTTAGATACCTTCATGAACTAGGCAAAAAAGGGAGCAATGTAGATGTAAGTGACAAGGTCAGTGGCATAAGGAAGGGGGGGGGGGGCTAGGAGTAGGGTTTTTATATTTCGGAGAGCCAAAAGGAGGACGCCTTCATTAATCACAATCTTTATTTTTGTAGGATAATCAAGGTTCCCTGTTCCATGGCTAAAATGAACAAGAGAAATTCCTCTGCATGTGTCTACATACTGACAAATATATATATATATATATATACACTACTAGTTTTTCGGCGCCCATTCTTACTTTTCTGTTGAATGCATTTCCCGAATGTGATTCAGTTAGTAACCGCGAAAATCTTTTTACCAGACTTGAAGTTATACTGCACGAGAAGAATCCCTTTCGCAGATTCAACAGCCAAGTTGTTAATTTCCTTTGTCCACATTTGCATCGTGAGAAGGAATAGCAAAGAAAAATTCAGCTGTCTTTAAAAATTCTTTTAAAAAAAAAGTGAGAGTCGACATTTTTTGGAGCTGTTGAAGTATTTCACCCATTTTCGCGAGCTGAAAGCTGAAATCTTGTTGAGTTTTGGGATGAGAAGTTCATTCGTCACCTGGTGTATCGCTTCAAATATAATTCTGCCCGTTTCCCGAAGCTTTTAGATTTAATCTAAATTAAAAAAAAAAAATTTTTATTTCAACGGGATGGGACATTAGCGGCAATGGAGTGGAGAAAAAAAATTCAGTCGTTTCTGAACTGTCTCATTTCAATAGAGATTTTTTTAATGCCGGTTAGAAGCCTTGACTTTAAATCCCCCAATTTTTCTATATGGGGCATTTCAAAGTTTACGAAAACAGACCAGGATCCTGGAAATAATTAAGCCGAAACATCGAACTTGAAAAAATCAATATTCCCATGGACGTGATTCGTGCCCTGGACAATTACTTTTGATAGTTAAACAATATATAAACCAGATGTGAATATTCTCTCCTTAAACCTCCATAGTATGGAGTTTACTGAGGTAGAAATTATTTCAATTACTGTTTTAAAAAATGCAAGTCACGCAGCTTTTATTTGTGTTCTTGGCCACCATGTTCTAACCCTGTGCACGAATTTATTCGAAAAAAACTTTCACAGCGCAACAACACGTTCGCTGCCGATGACGCACCTAAGCGTTATCGACGAATGTTACGGCGTTACTCACGTGGCAGAGGGAATTGGCGAATGGCATGAACCAAGCGAAACAGAACACTTCGTTCGCAAAGAACTGGAAATGGCTGGTGGAAACGTGGATGAAGCCGTGCAAATTTGAGATGTGACGCCTGCTGACTCTCACCGCGAAGAGACGATGACCATGAAGTCTCGAAGAGAGACTCCAAATGGAGGGAATGGGAAACAGGATACGTCACGGACGTGTCGTCATGACTGTGTTGCCAGGCCGAAAAAATTATGAATGTTGGAGGATAAATCCCGGACGAATTCGATACTTCCCAAAAATTCGCCCGGACGGCAATGCGAAGGCGAAAAAAGAGAAGACGTCCGGGAAAAACCAGACGTATGGTTACCCTAGGCAGGGGGGGGGGGGGCAACCGCTCCCCCTGGCACCCCATTGGATGTGCCATGTGCCAGGTGCCAGGTGTAACTTTCTCCCAGATATGGCTCAGATGGGGTTTTGCGTCTCCACTCTGTTGCCCTGCCCCCTCTGACCTTTCAGCAAAAATACGCCAATGGGCAGAACGACTCATATTTTAAGACATAAAAGTTAACCAGAAAGAAAATATTGAGAAAGCGAAGGGGCTGAATCTTGGCCTTCCCTTCCTGCAATGGCTTCCGTTCCCAGAATCGTGCGCGTGTAACTAAAATGAT